ATATATATATATATGCATGTGTGTGTACATTTATATCGTTTCCAATAGCATGCAAACTCCATGGAGGAAGGTGCTGTTTCATTTTTGTCTTTTTATCACTATTGCCTAGCACAGTTCCTGGCATACATTGGACACTTAATAAAGTCTGTAGATTGACTGAAAATAAAGAAAATACCTTAGGATAAAGACAATAGGGAAACTCACCAGCGTTGGCTTCTGAGCTCTAGGAGGTATCCATTCTTTTCTAGGTAGCAACTCCCGTCTCTTAGGAGGCATCAGGATCTTAGATTTTGGTGGATGATTACCCTGGAGTCGCTTTTTCTGCATTATTGGACCTTATTTGTGTGTGTGTGTTTTTTTTTAAGAAAAAAAGAGGCAATCAGGATGCATATACATTTTACACTAGTTATATTAATAATATAATTACTATATTTTATAGTTTTATGTTCATATAAATAGAGTAATTACAACCTGCATTCCATAGCACTACAAATTTATTCAAGCTACTATAAGCACTGTGCTACAAATATAAGCAAAATACAGGCCTTCAAGATGCTTACATTCTAATGGAGAAAGACAGCACAGAAAAGGGAGCTGAAAACCTAGGCAGAGACATGGTAGAAAAAGCCTAGAAAGTAAGGACTGGAACCTGGAGAGGATGAAGACATGGCTGTTCTGGGCACTTTCTTTTCATGGTCTGCTACTTAAGTTGGTTCCATAGAGAACATATAAATCCCTCAGTAAAGTAGCTGACCTGATATTCTGGCCTTCTCAGAGAGTACAAAGAGAGAACATACAAATTCTTTTAAGACCATCCTTCCCCCCAGGAAAAAGCATTAATGAATGAAATCATTTTGAGGCAAGACATGGAGAATAATCAGCAGCACACAAAGGCAGAAGCCAGAAGTAACTGTCAACTTTACTTTGGCTTAAGGCTTTCTAGTAGCTACTCTTTTTTATTAGGGCTCTGACAGGAATCTGGTGATCTTCAGGCTCTTGAGACATGGGAATGCTAAGAATGTTAGACTCATAAAAATACTGCCTTTCTCCTTGTCAAGGCCAACCCCTTTACCTGCATAGGTAATCTCATTCCATCCTGTCTCCTCCAGCAGATCACCCCATCTGTAATCCCCACCATCTTACTTCTCTTCAATCTCTGTCAAATGACTGCTTCTCTACTGCCTACGAACATGCCTATGTTTCCCCCATTCTCAAAAAACCCCAAAACAAAACAAAAAAAAACACACTTGATCCACCCCTCCCCCACTAATTACTGTCCTGTGTCTCTCCTGCCTCTTTTGGCTGAACTCCTTGAGAAGGCCAGCTTCAACAGGTTCCTCCACTTCCTGTCCTCCCATTCTCTTCTTATCTCTCTACAGTCTGGCTTCTGACCACATTATTAAAACAAAATAATAAATAAATAATGAATAGATGAATAAATAAATAAATAAAACCAAAAACCGTCTCCAAAGTTACCACTGAGCTCTTGAATTGTCAAATCTAACGTCCTTTTCTCCATCTGCATCCTTCCTGACCTCTGAGTAGCTTTTGACACTGTTGCTTACCCTCTCATTGACACTGTCTTCTCTCTAGGTTTTTAGGACGCTGCTCTCTCCTGGTTGTCCCGCCTACCTGACTGTTCATCCTTAGTCTCCTTTGCTGGATCTTCATCTAGGTCATGTCTGCCAACTGCGGGTGTCCTACAGGGCTCTGTCCTGGGCTCTCTTCTTTTTTCCCTCTATACTATTTCACTTGGTGATATCTGTAGCTCCCATGGATTCAATTATTATCTCTAGGCAGATGATTCTCAGATGTACTTTACTTATCTAGCATTAACCTCTCTCCTGACCTTCAGTCTCACATCTTCTATTGCCTATTAGATATCTCAAGCTCAATGCCATCTGTAGACATCTTAAACTCAACATTATCTGAAACTTCACTGAAAATCTACCCCCCTTAACACTGCCCCCTTCCAAACTTTCCTATTAGTCTTGAGAACATCACTATTCTTCCAGGCCTACAAGCTCACAACCTAGATGTCTTCTTTGACTTCCCACGCTCTCTCACCCTCCTACACCCACTTTGTTGGCAAGGCTTATTGATTTTACCTTTGTAAAATCTCTCAAATAAAGCCCTTCTGTCCTCTGATACTGCCAACATCCTGGTACAGGCCCTTATCTTCTCATATCTGGACTACTGCCATAGCCTGCTGGTTGCTTTGTCTGCCACAAGTCTCTCCCCACTCTGATCCATCCTCCACTCATCTTCTAAAGAAATTTTCCAAAAGTGAAAGCTTGGCCATGTCATCACTACCCCTACTCAATAAACTCCAGTGGCTTCCTGTCACCTCCAGGATCAAATATAAAATCTGTTTTGCATTCAAGCCCTTCATAACCTAGACTCCCCATCACCACTCCCTTTCTGTTTTTTTACATTTTTTACATTTTACATCCTTCTCCTCCCCAGCTCCCACAGGTACTCTTCAATCCAATGACGTTGGCCTCCTTGCTGTTCCTCAAACAAGACACTCC